AGTTTTGTACATTACAGGATTCTCTTCCTTTTTATTTATCTTACGGAGTAATCCTACCTGGTTTCATCATACCTACCATTATATTTGTCCTTTCCTTGACCGCTATATTTTGTTACAGGAAACTTTCCTCTAGGTACACAATAGTTTCCAATAAAACTTTCCAAAAGGCACTGAAAAAACATGTGCAAGATGCAACAGTTTAGCTAAAGCACACTTTATTGTAACATGGATAGGTATACTTAGGTTTTAAACTGCGAGGACTCGGTTGATGGTGGCTGAACGGTGTAACAGCACCTTTGCTTTATATAAATATACCCAAGTTATTCACCAAGAGATTCACAATGTTATTCACATAGATCAATTAGATTAGATTTGTCACAGGGATCGAGTCAGGGTCAGCTAATTTAGCAAACACCCACTCACTCTGCTTCACTCTCTCTACAGTAGAGAGGGGCAGTTCACTTAGGACCACTGGACAGGGAAGCCGAGCACTTAAAACAAGTGTTATCTCAAAGTAATATTCACAACACTTCCCTGGGGAGAATTCACAATATGTTCTCTCAGATTGTACCTGTGTATATACCTGCTTCAGTAATAAAACAGAAATCGCCTTAAAGTGTTTACATCAAGCCCTGCCACTTAAGAGTTCCAGAACTTAATTAAAACAATTAATGTGATACCAATACAGTTATCACAAGTGCAGTGAAGTGAGTATCCAGCCAGACCCCAAGTGTCTCACCAGAGTGCATCTCCCTGAACCCAAGAGTGTTAATTGGATAAGTTTAGCATTTCTTCTTCAGATAAAACTTCACAAAAAATCAATTCCACTAAGTGCAAGACATTTCAAAATGTATATAGTATATGCATAGTGCAGTAGACACTCTTTTGATGAGTCATCATGAAATTAAAACTAGTGGCACAGTTTCTCAGTAATTTTTGCATGCTCTACTGCATGTACAGTTGAGGACAAAAGCTTACTCCCCGTGGTGAAACTGAGTCACGGGAATGAGTCTCCGAACTGACTTATCCTGACTGTTTCATCTCATTAGAGGTAAATGCTGCTTCATTTTGGGCAGGAGCAAACTTTTAACCCCGACTGTACTGGAATACCCCAGTTATTGCAAGGGATGCATTCCTAAATGTCATTGCAAATAATGAAATTGTGAATATCGAGGGAATTTTCTCAATAAGAATTAATGTAAATAGGAGGGAAAGCGTTCCCAGCTGGCAACTTTTACCACATATCTTTCAATATATACTGTACTCCTCATTATGCAAGGCTATTAGGGACCAGGGTCGCATATATACTGTAGTACCAGTGCCAGTTGGCAATAGTTTCACTTCACACGGGAGACTGAAGCGGCTGAGAAGTGTTTATTATCTTTATGTTTTTGAAGATTGTGTCTGCATGAAACGGTAAAAAAAAAATATGAAAACAATTATGTATACAGTATCTACCTGAAAATAAGAGATGAAAAATAAAAATAACGCAACTTACAGCTTGGCTCCTTTGGGGGGAGGATATCACACACACCGGATGCACGTAGGTCACTTTTCAAAACTAACACTCACCGTCACCACCAATAGTCTACAGGGTGAGTCAAAAGTCTCCATACATAGGCAAAATGATCACTTTATTATACAATCACTTGTAAGTCACAAAATATGCTCTATGTGGGTACCATTACACTGAATGCACATATGGATGCATTCCTCCCACTCATGATGAACGCCTGTTAACAAGTCTGGTGTTATGCGAGCACACGCACCACGAATTTGTTCCTTTAGGTGGTCCATGTTTTGTATCTTCACCTGGTACACCATGGCCTTCAAGTGCCCCCACAAGTAAAAGTCAACAGGGGTGAGGTCTGGGGACCTCCGAGGTCACTCCACGGGACCACGGCGGTCAATCCAATGAGCCGGAAACTACTGATCCAGCCACTGGCGCACGCATCTTGCTGAAATGTAATGGTGCCCACATAGAGCATATTTTGTGACTTACAAGTGATTGTATAATAAAGTGATCATTTTGCCTATGTATGGAGACTTTTGACTCACCCATATATCACTACCAACATTCCCCACCACCACCCTGATGCTACACTCCACCTCCCACTCCCCCTTTCACCTCTCACCATTCCTGCTCCCACAATCCACACTCACTCGCCGGGATGTAAAATATGTTTAAATTCTGTACGTTTTTAACCTTATGATAATCTTTTTTTTCTTTTCTTTTTTTACACATTCTGTATGAAAATTGTGTGTGCAGTTAACAGATTAAAAAATAAATTAATTAAAATACGGCAGTAGGGGGAGAGGTAAGGAGATGTAGCTACGATGCTTGACGACCTACCGAGTCCACACAAACACATTCATTACAGTATTACCCCGCCTAACGCGGTTTCACTTAACGCGTTTTATCATATACGCGGTGCCTCGCCAGAGCTGAACTTTCACTTAACATGGATTTTTTCCACATATACGCGGTGAGTGTCCGGCTCGAGACGCTATTTTTAGATTTGCCCCACCCGCCACCCTGCCTGACTGCCTGTTTTAGCTCATAAAATTCATACAAATTACCCGGCCAGAATATAATTTACATTGCTGGAATTCTTATAATTTGGTGATCATTTTGAATATAAACATCATATATTTTGCATTAAACATACAATTTTTAGATAAAAAATTTTCTCAGGTAACTATGTTATCTTTTGTGCAAAATATATGACATTTATATTCAAAATATTCCTGGTCTTACAAGGAATCCAGCAATGTCAATTATATTATCCTAACTTTAGTTTGAGGTATTATTTATTAAAATTTAGTGGTTATCCCACACATCTCCTTGGGACGGTTGGTGGGGGGTGGGGGGGAGGGAGGGACCGACCGACCATCTGTTACCCCGTGAAGAATTATTTTTTTTTTTATTAACTGAAGATATTTGTTTTAGCTCATAAAATTCATACAAATTACCCGGTCAGAATATAATTTACATTGCTGGAATTCTTATAATTTGGTGATCATTTTGAATATAAACATCATATATTTTGCATTAAACATACAATTTTTAGATAAAATTTTTCTCTAGGTAACTATGTTATCTTTTGTGCAAAATATATGACATTTATATTCAAAATATTCCTGGTCTTACAAGGAATCCAGCAATGTCAATTATATTATCCTAACTTTAATCTGAGGTATTATTTAATACTAAATGTTAAAAACTCTGGAAGGGAGGATTGGTGGGGGGTGGGGGGGAGGGTTGGGACTGACCGCGCGGTTGGAAGAGGGGGGAGGCAAGGTGGGGTACTTTGATTGACAGATAGTGTCGTGAAGATTATTTTTTTTTTTATTAACTGAAGATATTTGTTTTAGCTCATAAAATTCATACAAATTACCCGGTCAGAATATAATTTACATTGCTGGAATTCTTATAATTTGGTGATCATTTTGAATATAAACATCATATATTTTGCATTAAACATACAATTTTTAGATAAAAATTTTTCTCTAGGTAACTATGTTATCTTTTGTGCAAAATATATGACATTTATATTCAAAATATTCCTGGTCTTACAAGGAATCCAGCAATGTCAATTGTATTATCCTAACTTTAGTTTGAGGTATTATTTATTAAAATTTAGTGGTTTTCCCCCAAGCAGTGTAGTGTGAGAGGGGGAGGGAGTTGAGTCCATTATTTGAATGGACATTAACTTGGCGACTGTATTTCTCTATTTCTCTTAAGTATTAATTGTGTGCATGTACCATCATAAAATTAAGATGTTATTTTTACTACAACATAGGTATGTGCCTTCAAAAAGTGGAGTTTGGGGGTCGGGCCGGTTTCTATTGGAATTAATCCCATATGTTCTGTTGTTCACTTAATGCGGATTTCACTTAACGCGGGACCCTCTGGGTTCAATTGACCGCGTTAAGTGGGGTACAACTGTATGTCGGGCCTTACTTAGGCCTACTTCACACGAGTGTTTTTGTCCTGCGAGGGAGAAGGCATGTGTTCACACGGGCATGTTTTTCACAACCTCAGTTTGTCTGCATCTGACAAACATAATCACAGGCACTTCCAGCCCCTACCATAGATGCACCACAACTAACACGAGGGAAAAACACGCTCGTGAATTTTCACGCACGTTCTCCATCCAAATGAACTTCATTAATTTCTAAACCACACAAGTCAGTATGCGCAGAAATAAAAACACTTGTGTGTTACACTTGTGGGTGAAACAGGCCTTACGTCGGAATATTTGCGACTAAGTGGGGTATGCTTTGCGAATATCGAATAGGGGTTTAAATTACCAATTGCAGATAAGCAGGGTTGTGATTAGTGAGATAACTCTGTATTTCACTCCTGTATATCATTGACTATGTTTGTCAATAGCTTACAATCAATGTGTATGCCAAAATTGTGATCAAAAGCATACTTTTTTCACAGAAACATATTCTCTGTGAGAAAATGTAATCCAATTTACAAAAAAATTATTAACAAAAGGTTTCTCAAGAATGGAAACCTGTAAATCAGAGAATGCCTGTATAGATATTTTATTAAGTGAAATACTGGAAGCTACACAGAAAAAAAAATCCACATGTCAGAGTAAATTTTTTACAAATTTTGTAACTATGACATTGTGCTTCATAGATCAGGATTTGTTTCTTAACATCTGCAACATATAACTGCAAGGTTTTGTAAATCAATGGGTGCTTACCGGTATACATGACCCTTTTTGGGATGGTGCCCACAAAAAACACAAAGTTTTTTTTAAATTTACTTTTGTCCTGACCATACAATATTACCAAATAGTATTTGACAAATGGTAGCGCATACTTATTAATATACTAAACACACCCAAAGAATCAGTAAGAATCAATAACAGGTTCTCATCCTGGGGGTATTCCTTTTAAATGAGCATTTCTGTAATCTACCTACCCGTACCATATGTTATTCTTTAGACAAATCATAGTAAACTTGAATTAAAATTTCTTACTTTGTTTAACTTGTGCAGATGTTGTTGATGCTTCTTTTTCAGCAGTAATATACAAGAAGTCTGTTTTTAGGACTTCCTTTGCGACTTCTTTACACTTTGACGTCACAGTTGCACTTACTAGAATCTTTTGAACTTTTTCTGAAAACAAAATTTTTTTTTAATTAATAATAATTATAATAATACTAATACAGAATTATTATTATTAATACAAAACTGTAATACTAATAATAATAATAACCATTATGAAAATGATGGATTGAAATCTAAAAATCTATACAGTACTGTACAGCATATAATAATTATAATTGTTGGGAAAGTGTGTGACCAATGAGATCCCTACTTCTAAATGCCTTCTGTATACCCTCGGTAATGGCAGATCATTCTTTTTACCAATGTATATTATAAATTAATCTATAACTGATGAAACAATAGACTACTGTCGAACATTCATGAGGTGGGTCAGTTAGTCGGAGGTCCGGTGCCTGGCGGTGGAGACAAGGGTGGAAGTGGCCTCTTTCAGTTAGTTGGTTTCACTGGCTGGGGAGTTCCTACAGTAGGTATAAACCCCAAAAAGGTGAGGTAGCAGTTACAACAAGTGTATCTCACTCCCCTCATGGCTTTACCACACCATGGGGGTCCCACAGTCAGAGACCTCAGCTGGTGAAGGGGTGTTGTTCACTTGTCTGCCCTCCACCATCTACTGCATGTCAGGATCCAAACATATCTCCTGGACCACTGTGTCTCTGTGTCACATGGCTCACCGCATTTATGTTTAATAGTACTGAGTGTGGCAGCTAAGTGCATACGGCACTTATCTCCTATCCTTAGAGTAGCCGGTTCAATCCTGGGGCACTTCCAGTCTACCGAGCTTTACAAGTTAGAGAAGTGAAAGTGGTAGAGTGCAGTGCCAGTCCTGCTGCCTCCTTGTGTACCAAAGGCCTAGTATACAGTGTGCCATATCCACACTGTCCCAAGCAAGCAGTCATGCCTATGAGACCCACTTCCCTTTCCAATCTAACTCTCAGAAAAAGGACAAATGATGAAAATTTACTAAGACTAGCACTTCTTACTCATCAGATTCAAAATTATTTACCAAATAAAAGTACATTTAGCATTGAATTATGTGATGACAAACATGTAAAAAAAATATTCTGTATCTACAGGTAATGAAATATCAAAAATTAAAAATTAAATAAAAATTATGTCAACAAATTAAGAAATGAAATTTAGTGAATTGACAGATAAAAAGATGGAAATAAATACAGTGGCCCCGCGGTTAACGAACACAATTCGTTCCACAGAGTGTTCGTTAAACAAATCCATTATTTCAATGGGATATTGGGGAATTGGTTCCAGCTCACAGAAAAGTACATACAAAGTAAAGCCAAAAAATGCATAAAGTCAGAAACACTCCTAAAATTCCCCTAAATCGCCCTTAAATCACTAGTGTATATATATACTGTACACTAGAACTCTTAAATCACTACTATAATGTGATACAGGTGATTAATTTTTATCTCTTGTGCAAAATATATGACGTATATATGCAAATTATTTGCTGTCTTGCAAAGATTCTAGCAATGCAAATTATATTCTCCTAACTTTAGTCTGTGATATTATATAAGATAAAAACTGCAAGCCTAAAACCCTGGCTGGGCAGATGGGGAGAGGGAGGGAGGGAGCGGGAGGAGAGGTGATATATTTGACAGTTGGCACCGAAGGTCTCATGTGTGTTTACTTATCAGTCCTTAAGAGTGACTAAGCATTTCTCTTATAAAATGCCACTGAAATGACCTGGGAGAATATAATTTACATTGCTGGGATTCTTATAAGATAGTGATTAATTTGAATATAAACAAGATACAATTTGCACTAGCCATAAAATTTTAAAACCGTAATCATTTAGTACTTGTACAGTACAGGTTTGCATTTTGGTCATTTATTTCTTTTATGTTTCTTTTAGTATGATGTGTGCATGTAAATGAATAAAAATAAATGAAGAAATATATGTAAATCTACCCAAAAATACAGTTGAAAAACTGTACATTATTAAAATGTACTACACTAATGTACTAAAATTTTTATCTTGTGCAAAATATATGTTTATATTCAAATTATTCACTGTCTTGCAAGGATTCCAGCAATGCAAATTATATTCTCCTAACTTTAGTGTGTGATATTATATAAGATTAAAACTTAAAGCCTACTGTATAACCATCAAACCCTGGCTGGGAGGGGGGGAAGGGAGGGAGGGAGGAAGGGGAGGTGACAGTGACATGTTTGACAGTTGGCGCTGAAGGTCTAGTGAAGTATTTATTTTTTTGTTTTTTGCTTATAAAATGTCATAGAAGTGACTGGGGAGAATATAATTTACATTGCTGGAATTCTTATAAGAAAGTGATTAATTTGAATGCTATAGTTTGCACTAGACAAAAATTTTAGTAATCATTTTGTACATTATTTTGATTACATGTACAGTACAGCTTTGCCCTTAGGACAGTGTGTGCATGTAAATGAGTTTCAATAAATAAATAAAGTTACATATATCGAGCCAAAAATATTAGCTGAAAAACTTCATGTAGACAGAGCTTGGATGGCTAAATTTTAGAATGACCAATAATTTTAATATAAAAAATGCAAACATATTCAAGAACACAACTTTCTTGATATTTACTCCACTGGAAACGAAAGTAAACATAGAACAGATTACTGTATTGGCAGACTAGGCGATCAGCTGATGCTCACAACAAAACGTGTTTGTCGGAAGGATTTCGTTAATCGAAGTTTTGTTCGTTAACCGAATTGAAGATCCTTATGGGAGATAATTCGTTAACCGAAATTTTTTTAATCGAACTGTTCGTTAACCCTTAGGCCCCGGGTGACGTTCCAGAACGTCCGCCTCTTTTCCCGCCATTTTTTATTTTATTTTATTTTTATTTATTTATTTATTTATTTTTTATTAGTTTTGGAGATGTTGATTTTTTTCTCGATTTAACACCGCGTGGGGGGTACTGCCAGCAGCACCCTAACCCGGGGCTTAAGGGTTAACCGAGGGACCACTGTATATGGAAAGAAACAGGATACCATTCTTGAAAAAAATTAAAAACTCCATCCTTTGGAATGTAAGAAATGCTCTGAGGATTAAAGAGAGGTGATTAATACTTTATCTCTCAACCATTTCAAATCAGTGGCAAATTAAAATCCTCTGGAGCCCTTTGGGACCAAAACTTTGTAGAACTCTCTTAGGTTTTAACAGTTTGCCAATACAGGTTGTACCTCTCTAGTCCGGCATTCTGTGGTCCGGAAACTCCCGTGGTCCGGAACGATTTTAGTTTGTCCAATAGGTAGATAGGCAGCTTTTTTTTTTTTTTACTTATCTAATTATTATTATTATTATTATTACAGGAGTATTAAATTTTTGCCCCTCAGGCCCCAATGTGGGTCAGTGACCTATGCCCGGGTGGGCTAATCCCCTTAATAAAAAAAAAAAGCCGCGGGAAATTAAGGTTTGTTTACATCCGGCAGTTCGGCTGCTCTCTCTCTCTCTCTCACTGCTTGTCTATACAGAGTACAACATTTAACCCTTCAATATATATGAGCAGTAAATAAGTGTTGCTTTCATATTCTTATGTAGAGTAATGACGATATATTTTCACATGTGCGCACTTACATACGAGCAGTCTCACTTTTTTTTTTTTTACCATTAATGGTTAGCTACTTATATTGTTCCATTTATTAACATTAAATAACATTACAGGTACTTCAAGCAACCATATTCATTTTTTTACATTAATTTTACTACAGCTAAACTCAGGGTCTTATTTTCTTCAGTTTTATATGTAGAACCAATCAGTCACTGGTTTCGTAAGCTTTAACATAAACAATGCCGGCAGCCGTCTCGTCTCCTCTAATATTCCACGTATTATTAATAAATTGTATTGTTAATTTTGCACACACGTACATTAATTCAATAAAAACAAATTCAGAAACATTAATTAAAATATATATGAACAGTAAATAAGTGTTGCTTTCATATTCTTATGTAAAGTAATGATATGTTTTCACGTGTGCGCACTCACATATGCGATCTCTCTTTTTTCTTTACCATTATCGTTAGCTACTTCTATTGTTCCATTTATTAACATTAATAACATTACTTAAAACAACCATATTAATTTTACTACAGCTACAACCAAGGTCTTATTTTCTTCAGTTTTATATGTAGAACCAGTCAGTCACTGGTTTTGTAATCAACGAATACAATGCAATGCTGTGTCATTTCCTCGTGTGTTTTAATATTCTACGTATTATTAATGAATTGTATTGCTCATTTTGCACACATAAACATTAATTCAATAAAAAAGACATTCAGTAATAAACAATAATGAATCTTTTGTACATAAGAGAAATGACGCTGTTTACACGATTATGCACGTCGTCTGCACGTTGGCGGGCCGTTCAAACCGTCGAAATTCAAGTTTCCGCCGTCAAAATTTTATTTACAGTTGTACCCCACTTAACGCGGTCAATTGAACCCAGAGGGTCCCGCGTTAAGTGAAATCCGCGTTAAGTGAACAACAGAACATATGGGATTAATTCCAATAGAACCCAGCCCGACCCCCAAACTCCACTTTTTGACGACACATAACTATGTTGTAGTAAAAATTCTATCTTAACTTTATGATGGTATGAAAAAACAAGTAATATAGAAGAGGTTAGGTTAGGAAAGATAAAGGTTAACATAGGAAAAATAAAGAATAGGTTAAAAAACGAAAAATTTTGTGGAACACTTACGGTAGTAGAAGAGATGGGTCGGCATACGGGGATGGAGGCTGGTTCCGAGGCAGAGGGCAGATTACTGGCCCTCAGGTGAATCACCATTACTAGGTGAATCAACATCACTGTCACTTACAGTTGTCAGGGCTTCCCTGACAAATCCCTCAAAGTCAACTTCACTTTCACTATCACTGGCTTGGGCTGGCTGTGGTGGGTTGCGGGCGAAGAACTCGGTTATGCTTTGCTGACGGCTGGTGTTGATGTTGTCGTGATACACCTTGATGTACGGCTCCATAGCCTGCACCAGTCGGGTATGGAAGACTTCATAGCGTTCATCGTCATTGTCGCGGGAAAGGACGGAC